CGCGCGTTCACGACAGTACCATGACGCGAGCGTGTGGCGGCGCCACATCACGCCAGATCTGGGTCAGCGCCGCCACACACTCGCGTCATGGTACTGTAGCTCTTCTCTTCTCGTAGCTTCGTAACTTTACAGTTGAACCACTGATGTCACACGGACTACTTTGTCGATCATCTTGGTACTTTTCTGGACCTTGAACGTGGTAGTTACCTTGCTGTCTATGGGAGGGTCAGAGAGCCCTCATATTTCATCAAACATATCTTAACTTGTGTTCCGAAGATGAACGAAGGTCTTACGGGTTTCGAACAACACGAGGGTGAGTAATTAATGACAGAATTTTCATTTTTGGGTGAACTAACCCTTTAATACCTCGACTTTGTCGAAAATGTGGCCTGGAGGGCAGTGCACATGTTCTAGCACAGGGGTGGCGAACGTCGGTCCTGGAGAGCCGCAGCCCTGCAGAGTTTTGCTTCAACCCTAATCAAACACACCTGAACAAGCTAATCAAGGCCTGAAGGGTTACTAGGAAGCTTCAGGCAGGTGAGTTTTTATTAGGGTTGGAGCTGAACTTTGCAGGACTGCGGCTCTCCAGGACCGGAGTTTGCCACCCCTGTTCTAGCATGTTGCACAGTGGCACTTATGTGCAGGCGACCAGAGTTTGAATCCAGTTTGGATCATTTCCTGCTCTCTGCTGCCCTTGTAATTGGCAAAAAATAGCAATTATTAAAATCAACAAACTCTACTCCTCATAAAAAGAGATGTCTGAAGGAAGATCACACATTTTCACATGTGACATCACTGGAGTGGCAGGGTTTCTGCAGGTTTTATGAAGGTAAATTTAAAACTTTTTAAAGACCTTTTTAATACCAAGAAAAGAACATTTAAGGAATAACCTGAAGAGAACACAATACATCAGTACGTTTTCTAAATGTAAATGTCTAGAGAGTGCACAGTGTGTTGCATTAGCAACACAACAAAGTTTGAAAATACAACTTTCAACTGATCTCCATTTTTTTTTCAATCAAATTTATTTTAATAATAAAAAAGCTTAAGGCTTGAATAGCTCTGCTCCCAACCACTAAAATACTTTTACTGTAACTTCTGATCACACTGCAAAAAAGTGATGTTCTTCCACAGTCTTGTTTTCCATTGCAAATCTAAGATTCTTAAATCTTATACATTTATTTGAGAAACAAAGTGACAAGAAATTAAATCTTTTTTTATTTTTTTGTAAAACTAATCAAAATGAACTGAGTTTAAGATTAAAACAAGAAAAAATTATATCTTCCATGGGCTCAACTTAAAGGGGTCATGAACTGCCTTTTTCTGAGAGGTCCACTTACATAAAAAAACATGATATTTTAGCAGTAATAGGCCTATTTTGAATAGGTGTGGCGGATTGTAGACTCAGAAGTAAATGCCCACTGCTATGATTGGCTAACAGCTGTGTATGTTTGACAGCTTACAGCCTTCATAGATGGACTCTGCTGTGATTTAGGTCAAAAACGCATAAATACTCAGTTCATATCAAACGATCTGTAATAACAGACAAAGCAATAGTGATCACATAATAAAAACAGTTACTCATACTTGTGTGGTGCGACATTACTGTCGGATACAATAAAGTCAGCACAGAATCGTCTTTCAATTTCAGTCTTTCAGAAAATCTGGCGTTGAATTGTGTCTTGTTTGTAAACGAATCCGCTGTGAAATGAAGTGAACAAATGACCTTTTACTGACGTGGTCTGGAACTTTATTAAAAATAAAGCTAACCACTCTTTCCTGATGTTGGGATCAGAAGGAAGGCAATGCAAAGACTGCGTTTTTCCACAGCTTGACACGGCACAGTGTCTAGTTGTCTTTGGAGCATCTTTATCTTAAGTTTCTGCGTAGACCTGCATTCGTCTCTCTCGTTATTTACACTACGTGCGCAAATTGGTGGGCGGAGCTAAACAGGCAGTGATGTAGAAGCAGGCGCTGATCTTCTTCTGCGAAGGCGGGGTTTAGAGCGGGACATTCCACAAGCTGTCGTTTTGGCAGATTGGCTTCAATATAAGCTGTTTTTAGACTAATGAGAAAGTTTTGAGTTATGAAACCTACAGGATGATTTTATAGTATGATATGTCAAAAGATCAAGGGAATTTAGATTTCTCAGTTCATGACCCCTTTAATTTAAAGGGAAAACAAGTTTTCATATCCCATTAACAGATATTTTTTCTTGTTTTAAGCATAAACTCACTTAATTTTGGTGAATTTCTCAGGAAACAGGTCTTCATATCTTCATTTTGCATTTCAAGTAAAATTATCTTAACTTAAGGATGTTTAGATTTTGGAAGATATTCATTTTTAGCAATGTATGCAACATTTAATGCCATGACTTTATGAATTTAAGACTTTCTGTTCATTTAAGTCCTTTTTAAGGCCTTAATTTGTGAAAGGTTGAATTAAGACTTTTAAAGACATTTTTCAAGACCCGTAGAAACCCTGAGTGGAAACCCCACAAGAAAAGAGATACCGTGGCCACATATACACTGAAAAGTTTTAGGAGTGAGAGAATCATAACAAAATTGGATTCACAGTTGTTGGCTTACCACAAACAGTGTATAAACTGCATAAACACAAATAAATCATACATAAAATAACTGCAGCTGTAAATCAGGAAGGAGTGAACACTAAATGAAGTTCTAACTATTTGATAGCAAAACTAAAGAATCAAAAATTAAAATGAAATCTGAAAAGCAGTTCACTTGATGCATTGCATTGATCTGTGAGAAGTCTTTACTTTGAATTAAGTCGCTGCTTAAAATGGACAAATATTTCAAATTAAAATAAAAACGCTTTTTAATGAAGAACTATG